GGAGGGGTCATGGAGGAAGGTAAGCTTGCAGAGGGAAGTGGGGAGGTTCCGTCCCCACCGCGCCTTCTATCCATTTACCTCGTTGTACCCTCTCTAAAATTTCGTCGCCGTCTACTGCTGCACTACATTCTTTGTAGGGGTGGTAGATGGAAAATGGAGGGGGGGGGGGGGGGGAAGCATCGCGAAACATAGCAAATAGAGCAAATGTAGTACCTCTCTCTCTCTCTCTCCCTCCCTGCGCTGCGCTCACTACCGTCCCCATTTGCAGAGGCAGGCGCCAAAGCGACCGGATTAGCTCGCGTTGTCCAGTCGAAACGCAAAGGACTTTCGCACACTCAGCGCTCGTGTGACTGTTTCACACTCCCTACTCTTGAATCAGCCACATGGGTCATGTCACGGCAGAAACACCCCTGACGTTTCCACAGTCAGCGTCAGCCGAGAGGCATTTCCGCCCAGGTCGTTGGTCCAGACGGTCCAGACCCTGCAGGCCCCGCTCGAGGCGGCCGGCCGCCAACTGGGCTGGGCCACTGTCGCGAGAGAGAGAAGGAGAGAGGTCTGGGAAAAGTAGGCGGGCAACACGCCTAACGCCTGGCTGCGCCGAGCAGCTTCTGGAAGGGGTTCCGTCACTCCACCCGCTGGCCATGATGGGATGGGAAGGACGATGTGTTCTCCTCGGAGGGCAAAAGAGCAAACACTGGCTACAGACAACAGTAATTTATTACGATAACAGATAATGACATGAAGGGCGGTTTCCAAAATGCATCAATTACTGACTTCCTTTGCTTCTGTGGCATACTCTGGAGTTGGTTCATAACTAAGACTTGCCTCTGATGGAATCATGTGCGAATTCTGCAATATTAAAAAGAAAATTGGTACATCAGAGTCAATATAGTACTTATTTAAAAAGAAAAACAACTATCTGATGACAAAATTATTGGAGAAAAGACTTACAAGAAGCATGGCACGTTTCTCAAGAATGCCATATGCATAGTGATTAAGCTGCAATGAAGAAGTAGTAATTGTGATTATCTGAAGATATTAGTTCTAATACTCATGTTGGATGTTTATTCACCTTATGTCCTTTAGGCAGGGCAACTCCTTGGAATCTATACAGCTGGTCTTCCTTCAGATAATGAGTCTAAGAGGATAAATAATAAAAATTATGGTCGGATGGAACCTTGCGTACTTCTAAAACGCATGACTGGAAAGTCAAGTTTTAACGCCATATAATTTAGTACTTACTGAAGCTATTGTGCACCTTCCAATCAGTCCTGTATGGGACATCATTGGACCGCGACTGATATCAACATGATTACCCACCCGATAAATAACTACTTCATTGTCTGCAATTAAATTAGATAACATTAGTTTGTAAATCTTCACCAGTAACAAAAATTTTGTTTAACATGTAGAACATCAAACATACGGTTTCCAAATATTTTTGAAATGTGGTTTATTTTATAGGGGTTGTCAGAAAACATCTCTTCAGCTACTTCTTGTGTCACAGAGAGACGTTCAAAAGGTAACTCTCTCTCTGACAACTTAATCATTTCTTTGGAGAGTTGGCGCAGTTCTTCAGGTGCCGGGATCCATGATTCTAGGCCGATGTAGGCATCTAATACGAAGCTTCCACTCTGAACTGAAATGAAAAAAATCAATAAAATTACACTATTGTATCTCCCATAATTCACTCAGAAAATTAATAAAGAGTGCTATACATACTATTTGGGGATGGAAAGCTATGCAATATGACAGAAATATCATCCCTAAATGCTTCTGTGACAACTGCACCCAGCATAAAAGAGCAAGACCTCCAAAACACATTGTTTGGAATCCAGGGATTTTTATCAGTTGTCTTTAGAAACTGTAAACTACACGCTTCAGACAATGGACGGTGCATATCCCAGGGCTGATTTGAATCCACTAGGGCAACAACTGCTGTTTGGCCCACGAACTTTGAAATATCTGCAAGAAAAGTTATGACAAACTAAAACATTGCTTGGTAAAGACAAAGTAAAAAAATAAAAGAGTGATGAAGCACTAACGTTTGGTGCAATCGTAAGGCGTTGACAAATCTTTATTCATTATTAAAAGTTCATTGCCAAAATCTGATACAACATCCACTTCAATTTTTTCAATGCGTCCAACAGCTTGGCGCTGTTTTTCCTTTTCAGCATCAAAAAGTGAAGATCGGCGTAGAGCTGAGTTTAATACAGGAATTGAGTTGGAAAAATCTGAAATTTGCGGAGAAAACCAACAATTTTAAACGGGTTTCGTTACTTTGTTTACAATTATTCCAAAATAGGTTAACTTACTTCGACTACAGACTTCATTTTTGGGTTTTGAGAAAACCCACCGTCCAGCACGTGTTATGTGGTGAAAACTCTGTCGTAGTGGCATGATGGTTACAGAGCAATTCTTTGCTAAAATAAAAATGTCTTTTTAATTTCTCTTGGCATGTGCAGACTATTCCTATTTGGTGGTGCAGACGCCGCTAACGTGAAAATAATGCTTGCGCTGTGCTTGTCTGCGTCTGCAAATAATGAGCGTTCCCGAGACATCGACGTCACATTGGCTTCCTACATGTCTCCCGTAAAGCCACAAACAAGCAGCCGCCTTCATTGATTTTCATTCTAGGGGAATTCAAAAGATTTTATTTAATTTGGTTGGAAACTGGGCATTTTACTACAGTCTCACATTGAAAAATTTGCTCTTTAATAGTAAGTTGTATGTTTAATGTGTTTAATACATTGTTTTGAAAAAAATCACCTATGATTTACAGTGACAACCACCGCTATCTGTTTGAAGCAGACGAAAACTAAAGTGGTCTGATCATGTTTACTGTTTTTGTAAATTTAATCTACTTTCTTTTTAAGAACTTTCAGTCGATTTCTTCTAACTAAAACTTATTCTTAACTTTTTAATTCTCTCTCTTTTTTTCCCTTTTTTTTTGCAGTGGACCCAGCACCTTATGATTTTTCCACAGGGCATGACTTTTTGGATTCGATAATGCGATGTGGTCTCTACCTTGGAGCAGTTTTTCAAATAATTTGCCTAGCTGCTGTTGTCATGGCCCCTGATCGTGCTGGGGATCCATCTGTGCAAGGAAAAGTATGTATATCTTTTAAATCTCTCTTTCACTTGATAAAAAACTGACTGCCCCTGTGAAGTAATTTTAATTTTAATTTATATTGTTTAGGAGCTAGATGGCAGCGATGATGAAGTATCAGACCACAGTACACCACAAGCTACACCACGTCGCCCGCCACATGCCCATCACCGTCAAAGAAGACAAGAAAAGAAAAAGAGGCGATAGCCCAATGGACTATTGTCTTATCTATTACTTGTTTACAATTTCATACTTCTTAACAGTAATTTTGAAAATTACTTCAGTTTTGATTCAATACGTTTTATAAAAGTTCAATTATTCATGGTGAATTTGGCATTTAAGGCGAGTGAAATCAATGACCCTATTTTTCAACTGGGTCAAAATGGAAAAATTTCATTTTACCAGCACATGCCTGTGTGTTTTAGCCCATTCTGTGTGAATTTTCATATTGCATTTGTCCATTATTAACTGAAGATACTCAAAATTTGGGTACCGATTTGCCATTATTGTCTTTGAGTTGCAGAGTTTCTATCATTTTTCCTAGGTGCCCCATCCTATGAGATGAGTTTGATTTTGTACTCATCAGAAGACATTTTCTGAAGGCATCTTGTGTGCTGAAATTTACTTACGTTCTACAAGACTAAGTTAGAAACATGTCTCCAACATGACTACTTGTTTCTGTCTTATTTTTCCTTTTATTTATTAGATCATGAATGTCATTCTATTGTGATGTGTCCTCATCCTCATATTAGAAAAATTTTGGTGAGAAGTAGAGAAATTTTATTTGAATCCAAAAAATAAATCTGTCAAAATTTGATGTTAGGTGGCCAAAAGTTATTTGTTATGATATCAATTAATAAGACAAAACTGATAACATCATCATTGTTTGTACAATAAAACAATAGTTAGAATCCTCCGATGGACTGTGTATTCAAAACTAGGAAAGAGGAGTAAAGAAGAACAAAGTTGGTAATAAGCAGAGTATTTTTTATTTGCGCACAAATCACATGAAAGCATCACTTTTTTTTCCCATTAACATCTGGTTTCTTGCTCAAGCAAGTTTGTGTCGAACCGTAGTATTTGTAATTATTTTCAACAATGTGATACGTAGGTATTCTTTACTTTGAATGGTTATTGGAGGGGTGAGTAACTTGAAACAGAGATAGGATGAGGTTTGGAACATACATAGTCCAACAATTAATATCTGTGTCAGATTAAGTAGTCATTGAGTCATTAATGGAATATCCTGAAGAAAATTTAACAACCATGCCAATTTTGGAACAAAACTTCTATAAAAGCCCATACATGTCACACAACAAAGTTGACTACAAAAAGAGGGAAGAATGAGATATTGTCATTCTGAACTAACATTGAAATATCAGCCTAGGCAAGGCTACCTGGTACATGTTACCACTGTCCTGTGCTTATGGATAGTTTCACAATACACTGATTTCAACAGATAATAAATAAGAAATGGTTGATTTAGTCTCCTAAAGCTAAACAAGACATTTGTTTTGGGTAATATGTGATTGACTGACACCAACTTGAAGCCAGCTTCAGTTCTAATTCAGACGATCCGATTACTCAACACAAATGATGGTGCAGCTTCAGCAGCTTTAAAATGCTGATTTGACCAAAAAACAAAAAAAAAAATAGTTTTGTTTTTTAAACCTGAACTTGATTGATTCACACAAATCAACATTAAACTCAGCATAAAACTAAAGTTGCCAGAAATGTTATCACACAAACAGAGAAAAGTTATCATAACAAGATTCGATGAAAAATTAAAAGTAAGCTTCACACAAAATAATTATTTTGAATATGTGTTGGTATTATTTTGCCCATCTAGCCAAAGAGTGCTCCCACTCTGGCAATTCAGCTTCACCTGAATTTTCTCTATCATAATCATATGGCACAAGATCGTGCTCATCCTGCATGTAGTCAAAAATCTCCTGGAAATGTTTAGAGAAGAAAACAAAATCAAAACATTATTGACATATATATGTTCCAGTTACAGTCCATTATATACAATATTCGGAGTTAAATTTTTAACTCCTAAAATAAAATTATGTACCTGATCATTGTAATTAGTTGGTCCCCCATTCCTTGCCTTCAATTCTGCAAGGAAATGAGCTTCTTGCTCCATCCGCTGCCGAACCAATTCATTTTGCCATGGTAAACGACCTCTGCTTCCTTCTCCACCACTATCACTGCCATCCTCATCTCGATCTGTGGTGCAAACTGAATTAAAAGTCTAAAGTAGACTATCATAAGGAAAGGAACATTGTAGGCATGTGTGCTTACTCAAGATCATATTTTCTAAAAAAACACACAAAAAAACACACACAACCCCCCC